TTTTCATAATGGGCCTTTGAAAGTGAATAATGCTGAGTAGTCTAATGGGTTTCCAAAAGCATTATATATTTTAGGTATTGCTAAATCAATAAATGTAACAGTCACTTAACAGTGTTATGTGATATTATATATTATTTGGTTAATTATATTAGAACTCAAATCCTTTTAGAATAATTGCTTTTAAGTGAAATGCTAAAAATAGACCTGAAATACATACAAGTAGAAGACTGAGATACTTTAAAAATAAAATTGTTAGAAAAATATAGCGTTGTTTGTTGTTATTGTGTACTGTCGAGTCAAAGCTGACCCATAGCTGACCCTCCAGCAGGTTTTCCGAGGTGGTTAATGACACAGGGTGAGGTTAGGGGGATTGCCCATCCTTCTCTTGTGAAACAGCTGATGGATTCAAACTGTGTGCCTTTTGGATTACAGTGCAGCTTCTTGCCATTAGGCCACCAGAGCTATAGAGTTAGCTATAGATTCTGATGGGGTTCTCTGGTAATAACTTAGTGATAAGGGATTATGCTGCCAGTCAAAAGGTATGAGTTTCAAATCCACCATCTGCTCTGAGGGAGAAAGATCAACAGTCTCCTTCTGATTTACTAGCTCTGAAAATTCACTGAAGGGTCAGCTGTGGGTCAATCCTGACTCAGTGGTACACCACCATCATAACAGATTCTGGTATAGAAATAATCTTACAAACCATGAAATTTCATATTTTAGAAGCACTTTTGTTTGAGATTGACTATAAAACTAGTTTAGTATTACTGACTTATTCTTTGTTTCTTGTGTCCAGGAAAAGCCTATAATGACTTTTTAAAATTAATTTTAATGAATTTTACAGAGACTTAGGGTTTCCACTCATTCATTGTTGCACTTTTCTCCCTTCCCCCCCCCATTTCACTCTTCTCCTTGAAAAGTAAAACTCTCATTGTTATGCAATCCCTCCCCTCAAGTCCACTCCACTGTGCAGCCTTCATTCTGGACTCCTGTCATAACAATAACACCCAGTCATAGATCCCCTTTAAACAGTTCTCTCCCTCATGTTTCAATGCAGTATACATCATTCCTTCCCTCCTTCTCTGTCTTCCCTTAACCCCGATGTCAGTTCCATTTCACAACAGTGGCCCTATGCAATATTTGTCCTTTTGTGACTGAGATATTTCATTGAGCATAATGTCCTCCAGTGTCATCCATTTTGTATAATATTTCATGAGTTCCTTGTTTTTCCAGTGTTGCATAGTATTCCATTGTGTACATATACCAGAACTTCTCTATCCATTCATTTGTTGATAGGCACTTGGGTTGTTTCCAGCTCTTTGCTATTGTGAACAAAGCCACTGTTAACATGTGTGTGCATATATCTGCTTGGGTGGCGGTTATGGTTTCTTTAGGGTAAAGTCCCACTAGTGGAATTGCTGGGTCAAATGGTATTTCAATTTGCAACTTTTTGAGAGAGCACCATACAGCCTTCCATAGTTTGTATATATAATTTTTTACACAAAATGTGATCATTTTAAAAGAATGAAAAATAATAAGAAGAGAGATTTGTGTTTTGAAAGCCCAGACAAAAGGTAGAGAAATACAGTTCTTTTTCTTTTTTAAATTTTTTTAAATTATTATTAAATTTTATTAGTTTTAATAAACATTTACAGAGATTTTGGGTTTTCATTCAGAGAAATACAGTTCTGATTATGTAATAATGCAGTTCTTGTGTGTGCCCTTGAGTTCACCTTAGGCCCAGCGGAAGGAAGTCCTGCCTGTGTTTTCCTGAGCATCCTCACCATCTCCACTGAGCTCAGGCACTGGCTACACTGCCCTCTGTCAGTCCGTCTCCTGGGTGGTGGTCTTTTCTTTCACTGACCGTTCATTTCCCCCATTGTCATGTCTTTTTCCAAAAACTGGCATCTGTTAACCACATGCCCAAAGTATGGTTGGTTCTAAGAATCACTCTGACTGAACTTCTTTCAAGAATGAATTGATAGTAAAGGACATTTAATGAACTTTTATTTGCTTGATTTTTTGAAATTTAATTTGTGTGTGTGTGTGTGTGTGTGTGTGTGTGTGTGTGTGTGGTCAAATTTTATCTGAAGAGATTGCCCCTCCTTCTCCAGCAGAGCATCTGGTGGATTTGAACCACATACCTCTGGGATTGCAGTGCAGCTTCTTGCCACTAGGCCACCAGAGCTCCCTTATTTGCTTGATCTTGTAGTAAATCTTTGCTAGAGATTTACAGCTGTGGAAAGCCTAAGAAGGGGTAGTTTGACTTTGTCCTAAATCAAGTTGCCATGAGTTGGAATTGACTTGGTGTCAGTAAGTTTACTTGTAGTAAAAACCTCAAATCTAACACCTCATCGACTTAGACTCATTGCAGCCCAACCAGATAGGGAAGAACTAAAACGCCACTATTTCTTATTCTCAATAATAATGTGATTTTCAGAAAGCTTTATTCAGTGATACCTATTTGAATACAAGTACAGTCTAATTGCCATTTTTCCTTTTATTTGATTTTTAAAATTATCATACAGTAAAATTGGGTTTTATAGGATGTACAGTTCTATGGATGTTAATACAAATAAAGATTAATGCAACAACTGCAGTACTACAGTTAGGACATAGACTACTCCTTCACCTCAAAAACCCCCTTTGTGCAATTTATGTTACCTCCACACCAACTCAGCCTCTATAATTACAGTTTTTTTGCTTGTTTTTCTTTTTAGAAATTTGCATAAGTGAATTGTATGAATTTGAGATAGGTGTTTTTTATTCAACAAGATGCCCTTTAGAGTCATTGCAATTGTTGTGTATTGCTGTTATGTGCTGTTAAGTCTCACTGACTCATAGCTGTTTTTCTAGCAGGTTTCCAGGGGCTGTAAATCACTTGGGAGGAGACTGCACATGTTTCTACCATGGAGCAGCTGGCACATTCAAACTGTGTGCCTTTCGGTTGGCAGCTCAGCTCCCTAACAATAGGCCACCAAAGCTGTTATTGTGCATTAGTAGTTTATTCTCATTATTGTTTGAAATTTAATGGAATTTGAAATAATTTCTGATCTGATAGATCGGCACTGAATTTTTAATAGATTATTCTTTTTGAAACTGTGGTTATCTCCCTAAAAAAATTTTATTTAAGGCTATCAACAAATGAAGGGACAGAGAAACGGTGGTGTATTCATACAGTGGAATACTATACAGCACTGAAAAACAAGGCACTCAGAAAATAGTATACAAAATGGGGGACCCTGGAATGCTGAGTGAAATATCTCAGTCACAAAAGGACAATACTGCATAATGACTGACATGGGGGTTTGGGAGAAATTAAGAAAAGAGGGGATAAATAATGAACAATGCATTGAAACAAATGAGGGAAGGAATAGTTTAGAAGAAATGTATGACTAAGTATTATTTGCATGATAGTAGTCCAGAATAAGAGGTTCATAGCAAAGTGGACTGGAGGGTGCAAAATGCAACAATGAATGAGTGGAGACTTTCATTAAAATATCAATTTTTTTAAAAAGAAAAAGAGCGGTTTGAATCCACCAGATGCTCAGCTGGAGAAGGAGCAGAAATCTCCTCCTGTGCCAGTCAGATTCGATTTGATGGTACACACACAGAAAAATAAAATTTTTAAAAATTAAAAAGAAAAAAAACCCCACAAAAATCATCCAGTGGAGAGGGGGGATTTATTTAAGAAGATACATACTTAGTTATTTTTGGTTGTTTAGAAACTGTGAGTAAGCTCATTGACTTAGTACATTGCTGAAATAGAACAAACTCTGATTTCAAATAAGAGAAAATGAACACGGACCTGTGTTAATGTCCCAGTCTACAGTGACACAGTTTTCTCTGCTGTCTTCCACCCTGACTCTTCCATGTAGAGGAACTAGATTCCACTTTTGCCTGAAGATGTCTTTTGATGAGCTTGCTCCCAGGTTGACCTGTTTTCGTTACTGGCTGTAGCAGTCTGTTCTTTATCACCTGGTGACATTTATCTGTTTAAAGTCTTTGCATCATAAATTTAGTTTGATTTTTCAGATCTTCATAGAGCTGGTTCTTTCTTGTTAGATTAAAGGTTTAATGTTTTGGTTTTTTTTTTTTAAAAAAACAAAACAAAACCCCATCTTTCAGCTGTTGAATTTCTGGAGGATGCTTTCTGGTATATTTTGGCAAGACAGTATTGGTGATTCCACCAACATGAATGTAGTAAATACCATGTTACAAACGGAATTATTAAGTCAAAGTTTTAAAGAGTGGATTGGAGATTCTTCCAAAGAAAAGAGAAATAATAATTTTTGGGCAAGTTTTGTATATTAGATTTTGAAAAAGAGAGATAAAATTATGTTCTGTTTTTACCTGTCGTCTCACCTAATAATAGGAATTAAGATACTTGCATTTAACTAAAGAGCCTTTGCAAAGATTTCTGTTTAATTTTTAAAAGTTAAACTACTTGAATTAATTTCTTACTTTCACACTTAGCTATGTTATTTTATAGTTTGAATTCTATCAATTAGGTCTAAATGTCAGTTTTAATAGACACATTCACAGAAGTGGCAGAAAAGAGGAATTCTTCATCAATAAATGACTGGCTTTACAGTACATGTATTCATAATGGGTTGCAATGAAAAGGATTGTTGGTGCAGACTCTTTTTAGATACTGTCGTGTACGTTTACTGCTGCAGGTAACTTTGGTGAAAGCAAAACATGCTTTTTAATACCAACCACTTCTCTGCCCTTTCTTTCTCTAGATTTTAACATTTGAGACCAAGAACCCAACGGAATTAGCAGAACGCTTGCGCTCTGTCTGTGGGAATCAGAGCAATGCCTATGCCCGCTTGCTTGAATACCGCCTGAATGCCTTGCGAGGATTGTGGAATGCCCAGCGCCAGCTGGCCTTGGAAGAGCAACATGAAAGGGAAAGTTCAGGTGATGAAGAAACTCTGGCCCTGCTCAAACGCCAGGGCTTATTGCAACAACCTGAGCAAGCTCCCTTCACCTCTCGGATGGGGCTCCTGCTGGTCTTTCCCCTTATTCAGTCCCAGAGTAGAACAGACCCTTCTCTCTGTAACATAACTGCTGAGGTGCTATTGAACTGCCTTCGTGACTGCCAGCCCTTGAGCTTGACCAAGGAGCCTGCTGACTGTCTCAATGGGATTGAAACTTTGCTGTGCTCATGGCTAGAGGAGACTTCTGACACAGGTCAACACATCCCACATAAGCAAAAGGAAAATGCAGCTGCTGCCCTGGTGGCTTTGGCATGTGCCAGGTAAGGACGGGTTGACAGTGCTGCTTGGCTGTCTAGAGACAGCTGCTACCTGGGTTGGGTACATGAATAAGAAGGTAAGCATGTTTGGTGAGGTTCTTAACAATTCCAAGATCCTCCCTTATTTTCAGTATTCAATGTCATGGTCCTTACCAGTGCCCAGGCAGGATCCTTTCACCAAAACTTGGGTCCTGGTGAGCTCGGGTGGCCTAGTGACAAGAAGCTGCACTGCAATCCCAGAGGTGAGCTGTTCAAATCCACCATATGCTGTGCAGGAGAAGGAGGGACAATCTCTTCCTGTACCAGTCAGATCCAATTTGACAGTACACACACACAAAAGGAAATAATTTAAAAAAAAAACCCATGGCAATTCTAGAACCTGAAGGACAATAAAGACATGGATCGAGTGTTAAAAAAAAAAAACAAACCCAAAAAAACACTTGGGTCCTGATGACTGAAACAATTCCGTTTCTCTCTTTGCCTATGCCAAGATAGCAGCTTAAAATATAAAACCGACCATTGAGGTTACCTCCTCACCCCATCAATGAGTACTGTTTTAGATTAGGTAAGTTAGGACGGATGTCGACTACGTGCAGATTTCCTGTGAGTTTACTTAGAATATTTGTAGAATTTCTTACATACATGCTTTCTATAAGGAGTGTATCAGCAAGTTGAGGGATTATCAGTCACTTGCCTTTATTCACACAGATTTTGCCACTAATTTATGGATCTCCATCCTTGCCTCCATCAAGTCAGATGAAAGATATCTCTCTTTGTATATCATTAACTGGTAAAACAATGTGTTGTCATTCATGGGCAAGTTGATGTTAGTAATCCACTGTCAACAAGAAATGTGCTTGTAGTTACTTTTCTAGAAAAGGACATGTGTTGTCTCCCACCCAGTTACCTGTGATTGCTGCTACTAACTTTTCTCTAAAGCTCATTGCCTCCAGACTAGTTAAGACCATGTTCTAAAGATCATCAAAACCTTGATCTTGAAATCGGTGAGGACCATAATCAGAGCTTTGTAAAACCATTTAGGATAATGGTCTGACCACATCTTTAGTCTGTTCCTCACATCTCAGAATTAGTTACTGATTTATAATTTAGATCTTTTTTCTTGGCAAAGCAAATGTGAAAACAATAGTTCTTAGCTGTAAATCATATTCCTCCATTTTTCTCTTTATTGTTTCATAGATGACCATCAAATGGTTGAATCTCAGTTATTTTTTAAAGCAAAATGGCAGTAGCATTTACAGTCACGTTCTTTGCCCTGAGCAAATTGTTTTAAAGCCTAGTTTTAAATCCCTGAAGACTGGTTGGTTGTGGAAATTCTGACATTAGCTCAATTAAGTTTCTCTGTCAGGGCTATCTGTCAAGTTATTTGTAGGTGTTTTGCATATGCAGAAGGCAATTTTGAGCCCTAAAAAAAGACTTATTATCATTGCAAATGGCAATTTTGAGAAAATTTTCTTTTAAATGGATTTATATTCCAACAGATTTACAATATTAATAGTAAGCATCAACTCTTTAGTTTGATACATTTAAAGTAATTGATCATTCACACAACGAAATTTTAGGCAACACTGAAAAACAATGAAATCATAAAACAGTATGCAACATGAGTGAGCCTGGGGAACATTATGCTGAGTAAAATATCTGTCACAAAAGGACAAATACTGCATGACACCGTTGTTATAAAGTAGAACTGACATGGGGGTTGGGGGGGATAATAGGGAAAGAGTAGATAGGTGATGAACACTGCATTGGAACAAATGGGAGAAAGAATGTTCAGAAAGGAATATATGATTAGGTATGATAGGTATGACAACAGTCTGGAACAAGAGGTGCACTGCAAAGTGGACTTGGGGAGGGAGTCGGGAGGGGACAGGAAGAAAATGTGCAACAATTTTAAATAAAACTGGGAAAAAATTAATTGAACAGAACACTTTTTTATTCTATGTCCAAATTTAGTCTGTATCATAAATAGTTGTTAAAATAACTTCATGCACTTGAGATTCTAAATTCCTTTCAGCAGAACTATTAAATGTTTTTTATTTTATTCTTGTGTTTTGTTTTTTTAAAAAAAATTCTAGATAGAATAGAATATGATAAGGTATTATGGTTATCACAGGAGTCCAGAATTAAGGTTGCATAGTGGAGTGTACTCAGGGCGGTGGGCGAGGGGGGTGTGGGGGGATTGTATACCAATGAAAGAATTTTTCTTTTACTTTTCAAAGAGAGGAGGTGAACTGAGGGGAGGGCTAGGCAGGGAGAAAAGTGCAACAATGAATGAATGGAAATCCTCCGGTGAGATGCACCCCCTCAGATAAATAGTACCTTATAGCTATCAACTATATAGGCAACTCAATGTGCTCTTACCCCAGGGAGGTACCCT